GTATCTTTGGGTATGTACAGTGTTTTGGTCAATGCTAGAGCTGGTGAATTGTATGCAGTATGAAAATACTAAGATAGCTTAGTACTTAATTCACAGCATCTTGATTTTTAGTTTCAGTTAAAATGTGTAGTAAATTCAGATACATTTTTAGTTTCAACTGTAGCTATGCTTTTCTTGTCTGTATGAGAAGATTATATTTTGGGATTATGAAGTATTGCAAGCCAGTGTTCCTAAGATGAATGACAATAAAGATTGTGATTGACATTTGTTGAAATTAAAGTTCATATCTTCATTGTCCTTTTTTTAAAGATTGATCTAAGATAGCTATGCATGAAGAAGGCTTGAGTTGAAGCCACTAATTGTTTTCAATCATTCATTGAAGAGCACTGCCGAGTGATTGTTCTGCATTAGAGCTTTCACTGAATGTGGCCAATGAAACATGATTTAGTTTGAGAGAAATGCTATTGTAAAACTACTTTTCAGCACCTTAAAAGACATTATAATTTTTCTTTCTTCTTTTGATAGTTTGGTATTGAATGATGTGCGCATATCCGTATATATGTTTGTGCTTTTCCTAGCTTAATATGGGAACAATTCTATCAGCTCTTCCATGTTTTAGCTTTATTTTGTCTTTTCCAGTATGATTTTATTGCCTTTATTATTGTTTATGTTATTATTGATATTTGATTATTATCATCATCAGTACTGTTGTGATTATATTTTTTCTATTTTCAAAAAAATATAAAAATGTTTGACAGCATCTTTTTTTTTTTACATTAGTAATATTATTATGGTTTATGATTACCATAGATAAAGTGAAATAATACATTATCCTAGATGATTTTTAAAGCTGAGATGGGATACATATTAGCATTATCAATGACAATTTTTTTCCTTTTTTTTCTTCAATAGTACACATCTTGTAAATATGTTGGATGGTATTTTGATGGCTTGTTAAACTGAGTGCATTTCGTATGGACTTGCTGTTATAGTAAACATCTAGTGGTGACTTCTGTCCATATAATATGTTGCACTTACCTGGCCACTGGTGCTTCGTAATGTTAATGCATTCCAGTTGTACTCTTACACTTTTTATGGATAGCTTGGTTGATGCAGTGGTGGAACAAGGGAAACAAAGGGAAACTAATAGAAAACCAAGTATAATACCTGGAGATGATTGGTTTATAAGCAGAGGGATACATTATAATGCCGAAAAAATCTTTAATTGGAGAGTTAAAATGTTTCAGATCAAAGACTCTTTAACCCCTTCTTTACCAACCTACTGCCGGGACTGTTGTTCTGTAGTACTGGCTTTAGTGTTCTTCCTGCTGTAGCATGAGGGATACTGTATATTCTGTCACCACATCCAATCTCATCAGAATTTATATGCATAACATAGGGATTAAAATCATCACAATTGGACAGATAAGCTTCAGCCATTTTGAAAGAAAAAATTGGAGACTCACTCACTCTTTTTGACAGAATCATGGAAGCCAAAGAGGGTGTGCGGATGCCATTATTCATTAGAAGATTTATTCATTTCCAGTGAAGGAATCTTCAAATGAATAATGGCATATGCACACCAATGAGTTTAAAAGTGGCTATCACAAAAGCCAGCATGCCGTTGATCTAAGGTCAAGAGATAAATTTCAACATTGTTTTGGTTGACTATATACAGATCTGTTATGAAGAATTTTTGAAAACCAGCCCTACTGAATGATTGTAAGTTGCTTTTGCTCAGGGTCACACATATAACAATAGCAAATCCAGTCTGACATGGCTGTTTTTAAGCCACATACATTTGTAAAACAAACAATTACAGTAAAGAAGGGGTTAAGAATGGGAGTTAAATACTTTTTTGATAATCATCATGATATGTACTTGAAAAAAGGCTCATTCAGATGCAGATGATCTTGTCACAGTCTCTATCTTGAGTAAAAAAAATGGTTGTTCAGACAAAAACCCTAGGAAGACACTCAGTATGTGTAATATCTGTGAGGTTGATTAAACATAAACAGTTCAGAATTGCAGTAAAGTGTATGCTCTCATCATGAAATTAAGTTTCAAGCTTTAGGATAATGCCTTATTCTGGCACTTGAATAGTGCAGGTTGTTGCATGTATTGGTTGTGAACAAAATGGTAGATATTACTTGTTGACATGTTTTGCATGGTTCCTTGATCAGAAAATGGATGTGATGGGGTTAATGTAAAAAACTAACCCTCACACTGATAAGGAACTGACAGTTGCATGGTAACATCCTATATATAAGTAGATTGATTGGTATTGATTAATTGGTTCACATTCCTTGGTTTTCTTAGACACGACAGATACGGATGTACAAACAGGATCTAATTGAGAATGGGAATTTTTATTGCTTATTTAATTTAATATGATTTGTCTTATCTATATACTGTGTAGTTTTAGATGAATTGTCATAGAAGACACTTTTAGTTCTCCACAACTCTGATTAGTATAATACTTCCATCCAGGAGGATAGGA